ACCTTAGATTGAAGAGTGGATATTGGCAAGTCGACATGGCGCCGAAAGACAGAGAGAAGACAGCGTTCTCGGTGGGCACCGGACTGTGGCAATTTACCGTCATGCCTTTTGGATTGTGCAACGCGCCAGCTACCTTTGAGAGACTAATGGAGTCTGTGTTAAAGGGTCTATCCTGGACTACCTGTTTAGTGTACCTGGATGACATCATAGTGGTTGGGAAATCCTTTGACGATCATCTGAAGAATTTGGAAGAAGTTTTCAAGCGACTAGGGAGCTCTGGTTTGAAACTTGGGACATGTAGTCTCCTCCCAAGGAGTTGCGGTAGATCTACAGAAGACCAAGACAGTGGAAGAGTGGCCAATACCTAAAGATAAACATGAACTACGAAGCTTTTTGGGACTATGCACATATTATCGCCGCTATGTACAGGGTTTCGCCACCATCGCAAAACCATTGACCAGACTTACCGAAGGCGAGAGGCGTTTCTCTTGGGACTCAGATTCTGACGAGGCATTCCGAAAATTGAAGAAGGACCTGACTAGTGCGCCCATACTTAGCTACCCTCTTGGCAACGGAAACTTTATATTGGATATCGACGCTAGCAATGTTGCGTTAGGCGCTATTCTGTCTCAGATCCAGGATGGTCAAGAAAAAGTCATTGGATATTTTAGTAAGACCTTGTCAAAACCGGAAAGGAACTACTGTGTAACCAGACGAGAATTACTAGCAGTAGTTAAAGCAGTGGAACACTTCTACAAGTATCTCTATGGAAGAAAGTTCTTGTTAAGAACAGACCATGCTGCTTTGAAATGGGTGTTGCAGTTTAAGAATCCTGAAGGGCAGGTAGCTAGATGGATTGAACAATTACAAGAATTTGACTTCGACACAGAACATCGAGCTGGGGCAATCCATTGGAATGCCGACGCACTTTCCAGAAGACCTTGCGCTAAGGACTGTAAGCATTGTTCCCGAGCAGAAGAGAAAGAAGTGAAACTCCTAAGAACAACTGTGGTTAATGATAGTTGGCACCCGAAGATCTTGCAAATGACCAAACCAGTGACCCAGAATTAGGTTTAGTAATTAACTGGAAAAACACAGGCCAAAGACCAACGTGGGAAGAAGTTTGCAGATATTCGCCGAACGTAAAGTCGTACTGGGCCCAGTGGAATTCATTAGTAATAGATAACGGATTACTTCGCCGTGTGATTGAGAGACCAGAGGGACAAGAAGAGAGAATGCTGATCGTCATTCCAAAGAAGAGGGTCCCGGAAGTCTTGGCGGAAGTTCACAATGGAACCAGCGGTGGGCATCTTGGTGTTAGCAAGACCCTTGGCAAGCTGCGTGAACGGTTCTATTGGGTGAACTGCACAGAAGACGTGAGGGCCTGGTGTAAGAAATGCGACGTTTGCGTTGCTATCAATGGACCACAAAAGCGTGGTAAAGCTCCAATGCGCCAGTTCAATGTAGGCAGTCCTTTCGAACGAATAGCAATCGACGTGGCAGGTCCTTTCCCGGAGACGAACGTTGGCAACAAATACATTGTGGTAGTAATGGATTACTTCAGCAAATGGGTCGAGGCCTACGCGTTGCCAAATCAAGAAGCGTCCACCATTGCTGATGCTCTTGTTAAGGAATGGATCAGCAGGTTTGGTGTTCCCATGGAGCTGCATTCAGATCAGGGAAGAAACTTTGAGTCCAATCTGTTCCAAGGCGTCTGTGAAGTCCTTAACATCCGCGAGACCAGGACGACTGTTCTGCATCCACAATCCGATGGGATGGTTGAACGCATGAACAGAACCATCAACCGTTATTTGGCCAAAGTAGTCTCTGACCACCAAAGAGACTGGGACAAATTTCTTCACCTGTTCCTGTTGGCCTGTCGTTCATCCGTCCAAGAATCCACAGGGCAAACTCCAGCCAGCATCGTTATGGGACGGGAAGTGCGCCTACCTTGTGATGTGAAGCTTGGTTGCCGACCGGGAGAAGATGTCGCCGGAGAAGATTATGTCCATAGACTACGCCAAAGGATGGACGACATCCATCAGCGAGTCCGCATAGATATTCAAAGCGCTAGTGACCGAATGAAGGAACACTACGACATTCAAGCTGAGCATCGTGGGTTATCTCCGAAGCTACAATCCTCGTGGGAAGGGCCATACGAAGTCATGGATAGGATTAATGACGTCGTATACCGTATCAGAAAATTGCCAAAAGGAAAGCCGAGGGTAATTCATTTCAACCGTTTGAGCCCCTATCAAGGCGAAATAGAAGATCGTGCTGGGACCGTGAGAACCTGCAGCTTTGATCCCCCTGATTCGGAGATGTCCTTTGACGATTTCATGGCCCGATACAACAGCAGTCAGAAGGCTCGCTATGGTGTAACCAAAGAAGAACAACGAGACCTCTTTTTCGTGGCTCCTGATTATTCGCTCGCTCACTGTGTGGCCCGAGATTTGCGGATGTCCAGAGGAATCGCTGCGACGTTCAATGAGAAGTTTGGGCGAGTCGGAGAACTACGCCGACAGGATCCAGAGATTCGAAGCGTCTTGAGGCTAACCGACAATGAACTTGGTCAAGCAAGGCACATTTTCTACCTAGTCACCAAGGAATGGCCCCCAAGTGAGTCTCAATCTATGGAAGACCCTGATTGAACTTAGAGAAGCCTTGCTAAACAACAACATTACACGATTAGCCATTCCGAAGCTGGCGTGTGGACTCGATGGTTTGAGTTGGCGTACAATCCGGAACATGATTGAAGTCTTGTTCAGATTTACGGGAATCGAGATCCTTGTTTGCTGCTACAACCCAAAGCTGAGATCGGGAGAGAAAATTGTAGACTGTTATTTCTACCAGACTTCGCAATGTACCAGGAGCCAGCTTTGCAAATCCTTCATTCACCGTGTACATCTCGGGACGAGCATGTACCTAAGAAGGGGGCAGTGTTGCGGACCGGTGTGGACTCGACGTAACCTAACAATATGGCCCGCCCTCGGATGACCTTAACATCGCATTAAAGAATAGACACCATAATGATTCATTCGAAGATTCGAGAAGTATCGAGTTCTACTGGAATGGAGTAGTACATACGAGAACAATCCAACCTTCTCTATGCACCTAACGATCTATGGACTATTCTAGAGACCTTTAGCTGTAGGTATAAAAGCCGGCGGCTGTGGCCTAAAGAGAGCAGTTATAAATAGACCAGTGCAGTTGACGCGCTAAAATTCAAAATAAATTCTTAGTTATAAATCGTTTGTAAATAGTTCTATAAGTCTTTTATCGTTATTGTTTTTGTTAATTAGTGTTAAATAAATAGTGTTTAAATAAATTGTGACTTTCTATCCACACGGAACCGAGGAAAAACGTAACAATAGTAATTAAATACAATTTCTATTCTTGTAAAAAACTATTAAAATGCAACTCACCAAAGTGGGATTATGGTAAAGTTTACAACATTGCTCAACAATCAAAAGAATCCTCATTTCTCAAATGCAGTAGTAAAAATCAACTTTTAAAATACACGTGAACACTAACTACAAAAACTTTATAAAAAACAATACAACGTGTGTGAGTTACAAAGTCAAAGCACGAGAAATTGCATGTCAAAATCTTAAAATAAAATAGCAATTAACTTTGCTTCATGAACGATCTAATTATTTTATTGTAAATACTCAAAAGACAAAAGAAACGAATTAATTTTTCAAAGATTTTCTTTACGGTAAAAGTGCGTTTTTGTTAGGGCACCGCCGATCGTTCACTAACGAACACCATAGTTTCAAAAGGAATTAAAATATGTTACTCTTGGATAAGTAAAAAAGGATAAACTTATGCATTACTATAATAAAAAGAATTGAAGAGAAACAACTACATAGAAATATTTTTGACACATTGGTTCCGTTTCATCAGCGAGATCGACCATGCGCAATATAACATCAATGCTACACTGAGAAAACAGGCATTAGACAACTTGATAAATTAATTTTAAGTGAAAAGTTTTCTTTACATAGAACCAGACTAAATTTACTTAGAATTGAAAAAGAAAAGCAAGATCTCAAAAGAGAGAATTGTAATTACAAATTTTAGTATAAATTAATATCTTAACATTGAAATGACATTTAAGCGATGGTGAAATACAAAAGCGATAAAAATCTTTTCAAGAAACTCAACGAAATCAAACCCCACCCAAGCTACGGTATGAAAATATAACTATTGAGAACCTTGAGTAGCCACTTGTCGCAATGAACCATATTTACCACTGTACAAGTCTAAAATGTAACCGTAAATAACTTACTAAGACTCTGGGTGTCACTTCTTTTTATTCATGGGTGTTAACTTGTGAATTTATGTGAACCATTTCAAGAAAAGTTCTTTTACAAAATGAGTCAGCTCTATCAGAATCTCAGCACCATCCCAGTCTATCCTGTGAGATCTAAACTGTTAACATGTTCCGACAATGCACATGACAAAAACGCCCCTGCTACAGTCACTTTTATGAGATGTGATACGACCTTTTAAGTTTCTAGAAGTTTGGCCTATATAAGACAAATCGCAATCTCTACATTGCAACCTGTACACAACATTCCAATTTTCCATTATCTGAAGTGGTGTCTTAGTTCTCGAATAGAGTTTAGAGAGAGCCTTGACTTGTTTGTTAGCAATTTTAATATTATTATATTGTCTGAAAACGTTTGCAAGTTTATATGTAAGATTATCTATATAAGGTAAAGAGAAATAACTGACAAGTTGTCCATTTTGATCCTCTGTCACTCGGTTAGGCTCAAGAGGAGTATTAGTGATATTAGGTAGTTGTTGTGCTGTAGGTCCCTGGTTATTATTGTTCACTATAGCTGTATGAAACAAAAACCTATTAATGATTTTTTCTGGATAAGAATTGTCAATCAAAATATTTTTTAAAAGAGCCACAGATTCCTCTACATAATCAGAGTGGCTTAGTTTAACTGCTCTAGACTTCATTCCCAAAATTAAATTTATTTTTGATTTCATTGTGTGATATGAATGGTAGCTGATGAAACGATTTGAACAATATGGCTTTCTATACCATTTTGTTTAAGGATGTTATTTTCTGTTCTCATAACCAACATATCAAGAAACGGAACAGCTCTGTTCGTTTCTTCTTCCACAGTGAATTGAATATGCCTGTCGTAGGTATTAAAAAATTCTAAAGTCATGCCTATCTGATCTTTAGGAACAGCCAGTAACAAATCATCTACGTAGCGCTTAACAAAGGGAATATGATGTGGCATGTAATGTAGACAATCCTTAACCAGATCGTCCAACACAAAATTTACTAAAATGGGTGAAATTTTAGAACCCATAGGGGTGCCAAAAATCTGTTTGTAATATGTACCATTGAAAATAGTAAAATTAGAATCAAAAATAAACTCTATTACCCGCTCGAGTGTTTCGAAGTCAAATGGACAACACGGGGAAATACTATTCCAATTATTACGCAAACTTTTCAGAACCACCTCCATCGAGAGGTTAGTAAACAAAGAAACGACGTCAAAGCTAACTATTACATAGTCAGGCGGAATCTGAAAGTTGTTAATGAAAGTACTGAATGAAAAAGAATCCCTGACATAATAATCATTGTCAACATTATACGCCCTAGTAAGAATATCTGTTATATATTTGGCCAATTGACCATTAGGACAATTAATCGAAGAGACAATGGGTCTAACCGACAGTGTAGGTTTATGGATTTTTGGAAGGGTGTAAAACCTCGGAGCAATGGTGTTGTAAGCCATTATATTTTTAGCAGTGTCATTGTCAATGAAACCCCTGTCCTTCAATTTGTTAACTATTGCATTAGCTTTAAGTTGAAACGTGTACGTAGGATTTCTATTAAGTTTAAGATAATATTTATCATCATCAAGCAGTTCTTGGCTTTTAGCATTATATTCGTCTTTGTACATAGCCACGGTCACGTTTCCCTTATCGCTCTTAAGGATGTACAACTCAGGATGATTCTTGAAGAAGAGTTTACTTTTTTTAAAAATATCACTTAAAAAGGGTCTGTCATCGTGATGCTTATGAATATGATTAGTAATAATATTAGTGTACTGAGCTCTAAAGGTGTCCTTCTGTTCATTATCAAAATTGTATATAATTCTCTCCAGATCTGCAAGTAGAGACGGGATAGAAATGTCATTAGTGGTGGGACAGAGACAAAATTTTGGTCCCAAAGAAATTAAATCTATAATGTCTTGTGGTATATCAACATCTGTAAGATTCTTAAACCACTTAGGCTGAGTTTTAATACTTTTTAAATTATATTGTATAAGAGCATTGATCTTTTTTATGTTAGTACGTTTAATCTTAAGGAAAGTTTTATTAGACTTAACTTTCTGTCTCTGGATAAAATCATACACAATGTTATGAGGTAAACAATTATAAAGACGTTTTGTAATTTCCTTAATAGTTTTTTCAACATTATCGAGATCACAGAAGGTCACCTTGATCTCCAAGTTTAAAATATTCTTTCTCAACCTGTGATTGAAGTTAAGTATCCTCTGTCCTGTGTTCCCCCTAGTGTGATGTAACATTGAGTTAATGTTTAAAGTGCCCTGTGTGATGTGGTTCGGTAACAATCCTTTTTGTCTGCATCTGAGTAAAAAAATTCTTCGGTTTCGCAATGATGCTTGCTTGATGTAATTGTTGGCCAATGTCTTCAATAATTCAACGCTGGTGGTACCATGTTGTTGTTTAATATTGGAAAAGAACCCCATTCCTACAATGATAAAGAGATGGGTAGTCTACGCGACTGACTAGTTGAGAAAAATATTCAAACAGGTGTCTTGGGGATGCAGTCTAATAAGAAGGCCGTTAGTTCAAGGAAAAACCCTTTATTGTTTAGTCAAGCTTTCGAGAATTCAGTTGTTCTCATCTTCAGGACTCTTCTACAATTATAGTAATTAAATACAATTTCTATTCTTGTAAAAAAACTATTAAAATGCAACTCACCAAAGTGGGATTATGGTAAAGTTTACAACATTGCTCAACAATCAAAAGAATCCTCATTTCTCAAATGCAGTAGTAAAAATCAACTTTTAAAATACACGTGAAAACTAACTACAAAAACTTTATAAAAAACAATACAACGTATATGTGAGTACAAAGTCAAAGCACGAAAATTGCATGTCAAAAATCTTAAAATACAATAGCAATTAATTCTGCTTCATGAACGATCTAATTATTTTATTGTAAGTACTTAAAAGACAAAAGAAACGAATTAATTTTCAAGATTTTCTTTACAGTAAAGTGCGTTTCTGTTAGCACCGCCGATCGTTCACTAACGAACACCATAGTTTCAAAAAAGGTAAATATGTTACTCTTGATAAGTCAAAAAGGATAAACTTATGCATATAATAAAAAGAGTGAAAGAGAAACAACTACATAGAAATATTTTGACACATTGGTTCGTTTCATCAGCGAGATCGACCATGCGCAATATAACATCAATGCTACACTGAGAAAACAGGCATTAGACAACTTGATAAATTAATTTAAGTAAAAAGAAAAAGTTTTTCTTTACATAGAACCAGACTAGAATTTACTTTAGAATTGAAAAGAAAAGCAAGATCTCAAAAAAGAGAGAATTGTAATACAAATTTTAGTATAAAATAATATCTTAACATTCAAATGACATTAAGCGATGGTGAAATACAAAAAGCGATAAAAATCTTTTCAGAAACTCAACAATCAAACCCCACCCAAGCTACAGTATGAAAATATAACTATTGAGAACCTTGAGTAGCCACTTGTCGCAATGAACCATATTTACCACTGTACAAGTCTAAAATGTAACCGTAAATAACACTAAGACTCTGGGTGTCACTTCTTTTATTCATGGTGTTAACTTGTGAATTTATGTGAACCATTTCAAGAAAAGTTCTTTTACAAAATGAGTCAGCTCTATCCAGAATCTCAGCACCATCCCAGTCTATCCTGTGGTCTAAATTGTTAACATGTTCCGACAATGCACATGACAAAACGCCCCTTCTACAGTCACTTTTATGAGATGTGATACGACCTTTTAAGTTTCTAGAAGTTTGGCCTATATAAGACAAATCGCAATCTCTACATTGCAACTTGTACACAACATTCCAATTTTCCATTATTTATTTTTTTTTTCTTTCTTGGGTATGAGGTTTTTTTTTATTAATTGAAAATGGAAACTTTTTTTTTTATTATGCGACGTTTCGCCTCATCATGGTGGGCTTTCTCAGGCACTTTATTCTTGAAGCCGCAGCCGCCTTGCTACCACCAGTCTATATAGAAGGATGTAAGTGAATGATCATTTGTGAATGATTATTCATTTGATCATTTGTGAATTGTTGATTGTCAATTTTTTTGTAGTACTAATAATTAGCCAGAAAAAGTAAACAATTGTGCGCAATATAATAAAAAAAATATTGTTTTAACAAATGTCTAGAAATCTTCAAAATCGTTTGTAGTTTCATGTAGTAGCAAAAAAACTCAACGAAAGTTTCTTGGAATTAGAGAATTATAGTAAAATTTGGAAATTAACATAGTTTGACATAATGTCTTTAGTTGTATACAAACTCCAAACGATGAAATTGATTGTAGTAAATTCAATTTTTTGTAAGTACTAATAATTAGCCAGAAAAAAGTAAACAATTGTGCTTTTAATGTAATAAAAAATATTGTTTTAACAAATGTCTAGAAATCTTCAAAATCGTTTGTAGTTTCATGTAGTAGCAAAAAAACTCAACGAAAGTTTCTTGGAATTAGAGAATTATAGTAAAATTTGGAAATTAACATAGTTTGACATAATGTCTTTAGTTGTATACAAACTCCAAACGATGAAATTGATTGTAGTAAATTCAATTTTTTTGTAGTACTAATAATTAGCCAGAAAAAGTAAACAATTGTGCGCAATGTAATAAAGAAAAAAAATATTGTTTTAACAAATGTCTAAAAATCTTCAAAATCGTTTGTAGTTTTATGTAGTAGCAAAAAAAACTCGAGACTAGAATTATAGTAAAGTTTGGAAATTAACATAGTTTGACATAATGTAGTACAATAGTACTAATAATTAGCCAGAAAAAGTAAACAATTTTGCGCAATGTAATAAAGAAATAAAAACTGTCAATTGTCTAGTTTTTATTTTAAAACCCTGTATACGAACAAATCTCACTTTCACCACCTGCAACCCCTCCCTCTTGCCCCTCTTACTGCAACCCAACACGCTCTGCGCGTGCTCCCCGCTCCAATGCGTCCCCCAAAACGCCACCGACGTCCAGTCAGTTCTCCGAAGCGACGCCGGCCGTCGCGACGCTTGGGTCGCAACCCCAGGCCGCCCTCAGCCCGATATGCGGCATCCCCCGCGGATGCTGGGCCCCACGACCGAGCCATGGAGCTCCCCCGCATCGCCTCGCAATCTTCTATCTGTCCCCCCATTCAGCTGCTGACGCAGTATCCCAACAGACCTAGGACGCCGGTGTCCAAAAGGTGGGTAAATATTGGGTTCTGTTTTGGATGGGTAAAGGACCAAATATAGTCATTGAATTTTGATTTATACAGGGTCCTGTAATAGCGAGGATCTATAAGTCTTAAAATAAAGGACTTAGAGATTTTGTTTAAGTCAGATCTAAACTGTATTAGAAAGTACTGTATGATCGAAAAAAAAACGGCGGCCTGTTGGTTTGGAAATGAACGTCGATGACATTCTCCATATAATTTTTCATATAAACTGACAATGATCTTCATTTTAAAGCCATCGTTGACGTCGTTCAATTCGATCATATTGTATTTAAGAAAAATATGTTCACGTTTTCCTCTTAATTTTTTATGAGAGTCACCCAATGATTTTTTGTATTATATTTAACTGTTGAAACAGTAATATGAAGTGTAATACCCCGTATAATATATAAAACTATTAAAAATTCGTACCGCTTTATATAAAAAAAAGTTTAAATTCTGTATCTAAAAGAAAAGTTATATCCAAGGTCGACATTAAATTTTGATCATCCTGTAAAATTTGAGATTACGATATACAGGGTAGCCCGAACTGTATTCCGGAAACTTCGGCGGCATATTCTGCAAATAAAAATAAGTAAAAACTCCGTATAAACGTGCCTTAAAATGCTTAGTTTCGGAGATACAGGGTGTAGAAATTTCATTTTTATTTCGATTTTTTCCTAATAATTTCTGAAGTAACGTCAATATTTGGATGAAAATTGGTGTCTGGGAGTTTTTTGACATGAGAAAATTGATTTTGATGTCAATATGACTCTTACTTGTAGAGGGCGCTACCTACATATTTTTAACTGGTTTAAAGAGTCATAACTTTTCGCCCGTACCTGTATAAAATTACTAAGTAAAAAATATCCATTTACGACGTTTTTACGTAAAAAAGATCTCTTGCTAAAAATCGCCACGATTAATGGTTCTCGAGATATTTGGAACTGAAATTAACAATACCTGTCATGATTGAAATAAATTAAACATGTTGACTAAATAGTTATTGGACTGAAATCATATATTGGAAATGTTTTTGTGCCAAGAGTTCAACAGAAACTGTTTTATCATCATTTTTTCGAGAAAAAATGTATCATTAATTTAAAAAAATAAAAAGTTCCCAAATTTATCATTTCAGTCAAATAACTATCTACTCAACATATTTATCTTTTGGCAATAATGACATTATGTATTAACTATTTCCGTTCTAAATATCTTGAGAACGGTTGCTCGTAGCGATGTTTACCAAAGAGACATTGTTTACATAAAAATTCACGGATATCTATATTTTTATACTCAGTAGCTTTATACAGTAGACGCCCCCTACAAACAGAAATCATATTGACATCAAAATCAAATTTCTCATGTCAAAAAACTTCCAGACACCAATTTTCATCCAAATATTGACGTTACTTCAGAAATTATTTTGAAAAAATCTAAATAAAAATGATAGGAGAGAATGCCCAACAGTGAGACAGGTCCAACAGTGAGACATTTTATCCCCTTCATTTAAAACGCGTCGAATCCAATTCCCCTTTCGAGAGTAAAACACTACCTACATACCAACTATTTTGTATACCTACAGTGATGGGAGATATATGTCAACTGCACCCAATAAAATTTCTGAAGCGAAAAATAATTTTTAACATATGCGTTTTCTTCGGTCTGTAAGGCCAAAACTTAGGTATTTTAATAAATCCATTAATGGAGACGCAAGTTTAGAATGGTGTTTTAGAATATACGTCTGGGTTTTTTTGTTCAAGTAGTTTAGAATAAAATAAATTACAAAATGGCTGACTGGTGTTAATGTCCGGCAGTGAGACAAAATATATTGCCCAACAGTGAGACAGTATCCCACAGACAGTGCACCCGTTAAGACTGGGATATAGGTACCTTTTGGGCACTCGTTGGCACTGTTGAACATGTCTATCATGTTATTGATAGTATTATTGTTATTAATATTTAAAAAAAACATTATAAGCACAAATGCAATACAAGAAAAATACTTAGCTAAGATATGAACCAAAGAAAAGATAATTCAAAGTGGAGAGAGTGAAGAAACAAGTGTTTATTGATTCCAATAGCTCTGGAGAACCAATTTTAGATTCATCTTCTGCAGATGAATGCTTTGTCACAATCTACCCTGACGGACATATGTCCAGTGTTAAATATTAACATTTTAGCGTGGTTATTTTATGTCAGAATAACACCTGTAATATTTGGTTTATGAATTTTTTTAACAGAGTCTTTATTTATTTTAAGTCGAAGTTACGTTATCAACAAAAATCTATGAAACTCTTTTTTTTATTTCGTTAGTTTTAGACGAAGTTAATTATATTTTTAACACTTGTGATTATATTTTAAGTTCTTTGTTTAAGACAGCTCTACCTTTGTTTTATGCCAAACGCAAATAAATACTCTTAACTATTTTTTAAGTAATTAATAAATAGTTATTTGTTTAAAACTTGCATTGTCTTACTGTTGGACCTTTGGGCCCAACAATGAGACAAATGCAATAATAACAATATTGTTAATTTTAAGACATGTTTTTGTCTCAATGAGAGTAGTTAATTAAACATGTTTAGGAAAGAGTGCTTGCCTTTAAAGTATATTAAAATAGTTTATTTTGATGAAAAAATAAAATATTTTTTACTGTCTTAAAAAAATGTGTCTCACTGTTGGGCATTCTCCCCTACTTCTACACCCTGTATCTCCGAAACTAAGCAATATAGGACATACATTTATACGAATTTTTTTACATATTTTTGTACTTATTTTTATCTGCAAAATATGCTGTCAAAGTTTCCAGAATACAGTTTGGACCACCCAGTATACAGGGTAAGTCATAAATAAGTGCAAATAGTTTCAGGGCTGGTAGATCTCGATAAAAGAAACACATTTTTTTTACCCTTTTTCAAAATAAATTGAAAATTTAAAATAAAAATTGATTTATTTTTAACAAATTTGGGATCTACCGATTTTTTTCTATATTTGGAACCTGTTTAGTGCCGCAAACATATAGAGTAAAGACATTAATATAATATCAGACATTAAAAAAGTATACCGAGGAAAATTTGGGGTGGACAGGCAGCTCTAAAAGTTTCCCAAAATACACAGGAAAGTTTAAAAGAAAATGTACGATTTTTAACATCTTTTTTTACGAAAAATACCTCATAGACGTGTTCCTGGGATCAAAACATACCATATATAGGATATGGACAAAATAATAATATATTATCATGACAAAAACGTCATCATTTCTAGACTGCTGGGTTCCTCAATCAACCAAGCCGAGCCCCAGATTCCGGTACTTCCCAGCGCTCCCCACTACCAGCCAAGTAGAAAAAGAGAAGAGGCCAAAGTCTTGCAAAACTTGAGGAAACGTCTCAACGCAGCCAGGGTGGTGCAGGCCAACCGGCCCGAACCTGTCGAGGCTCGTATTCCTGTCAACAACAATCTCAGTCCCGAAGATGTAGATAACAGACCGTATCTACTACAAAAAGTGAGTGTTTAGGCGTAAGAGCAGGGTTGGGTAGGTAGAAAATTTTATATTTTTTACCATATGTTCTACACGTAGAAAATTAATTTTCTGCACTAACTAATTTTCTACATTTTTTACATGTCCAGACGTAGAAAATTAGGTTTGTATATTGTAAGCCTTTCTATTCATTTCAAATACTTAAGTCACAATGATTAGTACAAGAAATAAACAAATAGTTTTTTACGTGTAACAAATGAGACGTAATAATTTGATTCACTTTTACAAAATTGATATTAAAATATCAATATTTTTGATAAACACGTGGACTGCTCACAAATACACGTTGCGGCACTACGTATTTCTAAACCGTTAACACGTTTTGTTACAACTAGCTCGTGCGTCAAAGCCGTCTCGCTAGCTCGTATGCCACGGCCTTGAATTTTTACTCCAAGCGCGCGTAAAGAAGTCTCACTTCAAAAAGTTCATAAATCATGTCCTAAAATTGCGTTAGCAACTAGTAATATTTACTACTCTATAATATAATTAGAATTATTTATTATATTATATTAGTATATTATAATTATAACCAGGTAAGCACAAAACTACAACATAAAAAACTATACACAAATAAACTAAAATTCGTAAAATATATGGCAAATAATAATTATTATTTTTACACACACCGCTGGTACTTGTGTTTGTCGCCGAATATATGCCCCGGCCTGTCCACGATTCAATCCCAGCATATCTTTTATCTTCGTCTCTTCAACGCTAACCGTGCCGATCTCGCCTATCTCTTTCTCACAGGATTGACTGTTGAGTGGGCCGGGGATCCACGAGCTTGCGACTAATTGACTGCGTTACTAATTGACATCTTGATAGAAACTGCAAACCTGCCGCTTCTTTTGCTTGTTTTTAATGGACACAAATCGGAGTAAAAGCTTCAAACGGTAAAATCGCAAAAGCGCTTGACACGCAAAAAAAACAAAAAACGCAAAAAACGCTTTCTGTGTGGCCGTGGGCTTAGAGTAATAAAAAATATTAAAATTGAACTGTTTTTCATGCATTTGCTTTATTTTTGACTTTACACTCTTGGTTATCAAGTAGATACTAAAAATCATAAATAAGAAAAAAGAAGTGCTAATCATAGTATATATAATTGTGAAAATACCAAAAAATCTATTCGATTACCAGATATTACATAAATATTATTGCAAAATTACTCGTTTCTATTACATTTACTTTGTACAGAGTGAGTCAACGATAGAGTAAAGTCCATTGTCTCATTTGTTTCGAGGTTTACAAAAAAATATTAAATATAAAAGTTATAGGGACGGTTAAGATATACATTTTAAAATTATTATAGAGTATACAGGGTGCTTCAAAAAAGTGCGGCAAATATAACATATGTTTTTTTAAATGGAACACCGTATTTTTTTTTTATTTTTAGATTCTGCGTAAAACTCCATAACTTTTTATATATAATGTTTTATACCTAAAATTAATCGTTTTTGAAATATTTAAATTTGTTTAAATAAATGTTAGATTGCAGTGTGATAAAAATTGTCGGTGATGGTATTATTTCTGAAGTTGGAGAACTAAAATTTGGTAGGAGAATTTTATAGAGATATAGAACAATACCTATGTAAAGATATTTTACTTAGATGCTACGAGGTGTTCAAAATATATTTATGAATTTCAACTACTTAAAATTAGGAAATTTCAAATTTTTTAAATGGTACATCCTATATATTATTACTTTTTTTGATAGATTTTACAAAACTTCAACTTTTATTAAGTATCTCATATACCTATTTTCAATAGTTTGCGATTTATTTCATTTTTTTCTATTTTTACCCATATTTTTAATACAATTACCCTATAACATCATAGTTACCGTAACAAAAAGTAATAATTATCAAAGCTTCTTGTCTGTTAAGCAAGTTAAGAACAAAATTTGAATTTTAGTTTAATTTGTTGTACTTAGTATAAATTGTAGAGATAATAGTTACATATTTTCCTGAAATTAATTAGTCAATGTGACTGATATACACGAGCAAGCCACAATATTTTTTGGTTCAGTACTATATATTATATAGTACTTTGCTAAGTAGTATAAGAATAGATGTAGATTATCTAGAAAACATCTTCAGTGTGTAATGGGACGGTTTCGCGACAGTAGTAATATTGGCTTTACCAAATGAATTATAAACCAGAATTACTACGAGAAGAAAATTCCTATATCAGTAGTTTTCAACAATTAGGTAATCTAGTATTACCCTAGTCTGGGGCTATTCGCCCTGACGGAAAATCCAAGTGTCATCTTTCATAATACAAAAATACACCAAGAAATTTACGACTGCGATTTTAGTTTATTTGAGTTAATTAATTTTAACTAATACCAGCACTTGTAACTAATTATTAAGCTACTTGTTAAAGATAAGTAATAAATAGTTTGTTTTGTTATGGCAACTATGATTTTATAGGGTAATTGAAGGTAGGGTATTAAAAATATGGGTAAAAATAGAAATAAATAGCAAACTATTAAGAATAGGTATATGACATACCTAATAAAAGTTGAAGAGTTTTATAAAATCTATCAGAAAAAATGATAATATATAGGGTGTCCTATTTAAAAAATTTGAGATTTTGTAATTTTAAGTAGTTGAAATTAGTAAATATATTTTGAACACCCTGTATCATTTAACTAAAATATCTTTATAAATATATATCTTCTTTTTTAACTCTAAAAAACTCTCCTACCAAATTTTGGTACTCCAACTTCAGAAAGAATGGCACCACTGACAATTTTTTTACCACACTGCAATTTAACATTTGTATAAACAAATTAAAATATTACCAAAACTATTAATTTTAGGTATATAACATTATATATAAAAAAGTTATGGAATTTTACGCAGAATCTAAAAAATAGGGTGTTGTTGCATTTAAAAAAACATAAGTTATATCCGCCACACTTTTTTGAAGCACATTGTATACTCTATAATAATTTTAAAATGTGTATCTTAACCTACTCTAGAACCTTTATATTTAATTTTTTTTGTAAATCTCGAAACAAATGAGATAATGGACTTTACTCTATCGTTGACTCATCCTGTACAACTATTTAATTATTTGTTTTTGAAAATAAGAATCAAGATTTTTTATTGATAACAAAAATAAGGTGGAGTCTTAAATATCAGATCAGAATCCGCGACATTTGGTTTACTTGTTCGAAACAAATCGAGACCCTATATAATGTACGTCTAATTTAGTGTCATGCGATACTCACTAAAGCTCAGTGATTAGCAATTCAGAAACCAAAACTTCACTTAATTCCATCATAAAACTCTCATATATTATCTACCAATGTTATGTTACTCTTTTTATATATTTCCACAACCAAGAACTTGTCTTCTATAAATTACATTGAGAAAAAATACATTTAATGATTGTTCTGGGAGATTTTTTTGCCATTGACACGCAAGTATGTTAATTTCTCTATCAGTTACAGATTAATACGCTGCTGTCACGCTATGGGACACGTAAGAAACCCATTTAAGTAGCTTCGCAAAAGGTTATAGAGCTTTGTGGCCATTAATCTGTTCTGGATAAGACTGAGGGTGAATTTTAATAAGCTACATCAATTTTGTTTCTAAAAAAATTAGAGTACCTAATAAAAAATATTCAAATAAAACTCCATGTAGTTTCTTTATTTTCTAGTTTACAATTTTCGTTATCAAGTATGTAGATACTAAATATCATAAGTGAAAAAAGAAGTGCTTTCCATAAAATCAATAACATGAAAAATATACGAAATAATATAAATGTACTGATTTCTTTCGAAAATCGACAACTATGAAACTATGAACTCTTCCCGGACACAAACGGTACATTGTAAAACAAGAAATTGTAGAGAGAAACAAGCCCTATAACATAGGATACAACATTTTAATGAACAGTGCTTTCTATAAAATCAATAAAATGAAAAATATACGAAATAATATAAATGTACTGATTTCTTTCGAAAATCGACAACTATGAAACTATGAACCCTTCCCGGACACAAACGGTACATTGTGAAACAGGAAATTGAAGAGAGAAACAAGCCCTATAACATAGGATACAACATTTTAATGAACAGTGCTTTCTATAAAATCAATAAAATGAAAAATATACGAAATAATATAAATGTACTGATTTCTTTCGAAAATCGACAACTATGAAACTATGAACCCTTCCCGGACACAAACGGTACATTGTGAAACAGGAAATTGTAGAGAGAAACAAGCCCTATAACATAGGATACAACATTTTAATGAACAGTGCTTTCTATAAAATCAATAAAATGAAAAATATACGAAATAATGTAAACGTACCGGGTGGCCAACTAAGAATGGACGCCGGCTGTATCTCAGAAACTACTTATCGTATAACGTTGGGAAAAAAATTCTAATAAGTAAATCGATCAAGAGAAATCGCTGGAAATTATTTTCAAGTTCGAAAAATGCCCGCAAGGGGGCGTTTCTCTACTAGCCAATCAGAAAATAGTTTTTTTCTCAAAAATATGCAGGTGAACAGGTATTTGAAATATTACTATTGTAGTCATCGATAAATTTGTAATTTTTTTGATAAAAGGTATTTTGCTCTATCTCATAAAATAAAGTGGTGGGGGAAGGTTAAACTTGCCTTTATTAAAATAAGGATAACTCTGGTTTAGGTTACGCGATTTAAACAAACTAAGGCTCGTTTAAAAGAGCTTTTCTTCCTTAATGATCTCCAGTATAAATTTTGTTTGCACAATTTTTTTCGTGGTAGCTAGAGGGCGCTGTTTGACATCATAACGGATATTGCGCTTTTGCGTAAAAAAATTAAATAGGAGGCTATATTTCTCTTTGCACAGTTAAATAGAGCACAAAATTTCCAAAATATCAGCGGAAACCGCAATTCTATCTGCTCTCTAACCGGAGATATTAAGAGAACAAATCATGTTAGGCTGCCGCTTAGGATTATATGGTCTA